CCCCCAGCCTCGGAGGAAATGTCTGGTTGCCGTGCCTGATAGGTTTGATGGCACCCAAGCCATGTTTCTAGCTTTCTTGGGACAATGCCAGCCAATATCAGTCTGAGAGCGGAGGACTTTCCCACTGACTGGGCTAAAGTGGGGTTTATCATCAGCTTACTCTCCGGCTCCGCAGCTCGTTGGGCTACCCCTTTGTTGGCCCAGGCTAGCCCTTTGCTGGACGATTTCAGGGGGTTTTGCAATCACCTCAGACTCATGTATGAGGACCCCATTAAGGAGGAAACAGCCACCAGACGTCTCAAGACACTGAAGCAGGGCTGGGGTTCCTTGCAGGACTATGTCAGTGAATTCCGGCTCCTTAGCCAAGATTCAGGCTGGAATGAGGCAGCCCTCATGGACATCTTTCAAGATGGGCTGTAGGACGACCTGCAGGATGAGCTGGTGCGGGTGGACAGCCCACCGACGTTCAATGCACTGATCCACCTGTGGCTCCGGATAGACGCCCGGTTGCAGAGGCGGGAGAGTTGCCGCGTGTCCCAGGAGACCAGAGGGGTTCCGATACCGCGGGAGACCCTAGCTCCATGGGAGGAGCCCGTGGACTTGGGTGCAGCCAAACCCCACTTGTCGCAAAATGAGATGGACAGATGGCGTAAAGGGGACTTGTGCTTTTATTGCGGGGATCTTGGGCACCTGGCAGCGGTTTGCCCCAAGAAGAGTAGGGGGCTGCGAGGTCTGGGGATTCTGCCGGGGATTCCGGCCCATGCCCTGGTCGATTCCGGGGCTACCACGAACTTCATGAATGAGGCATTTGTGACCAAGTATGCCGTCCCTCTGTGTCTGGTGGACCCACCGATGCTGGTCGAGACCATTGACGGCCAGGTGCTTCTGTCTGGGCCTATCAAGGCCGCCATGCAGCCCTTGCGCCTGGTCATCGGGGATCACAAGGAGGCCATCCAGTTTTACATTGCCTCGGGCCTGCATTTCCCCGTGGTCCTGGGCTTGGCCTGGCTGCGGGTGCACGACCCCCAGATTTATTGGTCCCAGAACCTGGTCATGTTCCCGTCCCTGCAATGTGTCGACCACACCCGTCACATCTGTGCAGGCCAGGTGCTGAGATTGCCCAGGGTGTCATTGCCGCCGGACATAGCGGAGTTCGCGGACGTCTTCAGCGAGCAGAAGGTGGACCAATTGCCACCACACCGGCCTTATGACTGCTCCATTGACTTGGTGCCAGACGCGCAGCTCCCTGTGGGTCGCCTGTACTCCATGTCCGAGCTGGAGTTGGCCGCATTGCAGGACTTTCTGGACAAGGGGGTTTTATCTGGCCCTCATCTTCGCCACTCTCTGCCCCGGTCTTGTTCATCAA